CTTTCAGGAATGAATGGATTCCCAAAATGTGGAAATTCTGCCATAGGCTACAACCTTGATGAATCTTGAGGACATGATGCTAAGTGAAATAAACCAATTGCCAGAAGACAAACGCTGTATGATTCCACTTACGTGCGGTACGTAGAGTAGTCAAATTCATAGAAACAGAAAGTAGAATGGGGGCTGTCAGGGGCTGAGGGAAGGGAGAGAAAGGAAGCTGTTGTTCTAATGAGTATAGAGTTTCAGTTTTGCGGGATGAACCGTTTTGGAGACTGGATGCCCAACATGGTGAATGTACTCAACACCACCCCAACTGTACCTTTAGAAACGGTTCAGATGGTAAATTTCATGTTAACGTGTTTTCCACTGAAGTTTAGATGTTTTAAATTTAAAACTGATTACGACAGTAAATCTTATGTTATATGTATTTTTACCACAGTTAAGAAGAAAAAGACAACAAAAAAAAAAAACACTGACAACACCAAAAGCTGGCAAGGATGTGGAGCAACAGGAACTCTCCTTCATTGCTCGCGGAACGCAGAACTGCACTGCCGCTTTGGAAGACGGTTCGGCAGTTTCTCACAAAACTGAATGTACTCTTACCAATTGAGCCAGCAATCAAGCTCTTGGGTATTTATCCAAACGAGTTGAGAACTTGTGTCCACACCCAGCAGCTTTATTTACAACTATCGAAATGCGGAAGCGACCAAGATGTCCTCCAGTAAGTGAACGGGTAAACTGTGCTACATCCAGACAATGGAATATTACTCTACTTTAAGAAGAAACGTGCGGGGCGCCTGGGTGGCTCAGTCGGTTAAGCGTCCGACTTCGGCTCAGGTCACGATCTCGCAGTTCATGAGTTCGAGCCCCGCGACAGGCTCTGTGCTGACAGCTCAGGGCCTGGAGCCTGCTTCGGATTCTGTGTCTCCGTCTCTTTCTGCCCCTCCCCTGCTCACGCTCTGTCTTTCTCTGTCTCAAAAATAAATAAATGTTAAAAAAAAAAAAAATTAAAAAAAAAAAAGAAGAAACGTGCTATCAAGACATGAAAAGAAGCGGAGAAAAACTTAAATGCATATGGCTAAGTGAAGGAAGCCAATCTGAAAAGGCTACATACTACTGTAGGATTCCACCTATACAATGTTCTAGAAAAGGCAAAAGTATGGAGACAATAAAAAGATCAGTGATTGCTAAGGGTTAGGGGAGAGAAAGGGACAGATAGGTGGAGCACAGAGCATTTTTAGGGCACAGAAAATACTCTAATGGTGGACACATGTCATACATTTGTCAAGACCCACAGAATGTACACCAAGAGTGAATCCTCATGTGAACTATGGGCTTTGGGTGATAATGTCGTGTCAATGCAGGTTCAACGATTATAACAAGCGTTATCACTCTGGTACAGGATGTTAATGGGGGAAGAGGCTGTGTGTTTGAGTGGGGAGCAGAGAGTATATGGGAACTCTGCACTTTCTTTTCAATTTTGCAGTGAATTGCTCTAAAAAATAAAGTACATTTGAAAATTCATACAACCCTTGGAGTGCCTGGATGGCTCAGTCGCTTAAGCGTCTGACGCTTGATTTCGCCTCAGGTCATGATCTCGTAGTTCGTGAGTTCAAGCCCCACATTGGGCTCCACTCCGACAGTGTGGAGCCTGCTTTGGATCCTCTCTCTCCTTCTCTCTCTGCCCCTCTCCTGCTGCTCTCTCCCTCAAAATAAATAAACTTAAAAAAATAAATAAATAAAAATAAAAATTCAGACAACATAAAATTAACCATTATCCATTCTAAAGTGGTACAATTCAGCGGTTGTTTAACTCATTCATAGTATCATGCAACCATTACCTCTATCTAGATCTAAGATATTTTCACCACCACCAAAAGGGAACTGCTCAGCAGTTACTCCCCATTCTCCCTCCCCTTGGCCCCAGGCAACTACTAATCTAATTTCTGTCTGTATGGATTGCCCGATCTGGACATTTCATATAAATGGAATCATACAATCCATGGTCTTCTGTAACTGGCTTTCTTCACTTAACTTGTTTTCAAGATGCATCCATGTTGTAGCATGTATCAACCCATCATTTCTTTTTAAGACTCAATAATGTTCCATTGTGTGTATACACCACATTTTTTTCTCCATTCATCAGTCCATGGACACTTGGATTGTTTCTGCCTCTTGGCCATTGAGACTAGTTGTGCTATGAATATGCATGTACAAGTCTTTGTTTGAAGACCTATAATGGATTCTTTTCTTAATACTATACCCTTCCTTATCCTTAGAAGAGGGAAACTTAAAAAACAGAATAAAAATAAAATTAACATATAAAATATCAAATTAATGGTATTTTTAAATGATTAATGATAATAATGTTTACATTAATAATATTTAAGAATCACTAGTATTTAACATACTTTATCTCATTTATCATCATAATCCAAAGTAGACATTATCACCTCCATTGTATAGATCAAGAAACCAAGGCTCAGAAGGTTAAATAACTTGTCCATGGTTGCACAGCCAGCGAGTGTGAGCCAACTTTGGACCCCAGGTTTTTCTGACCCCTCTCTGCCTCTCTGACTACCTCACACATCAAACTTGTCAGAGGAGGCGAAAGAATGGGTAAGAGGCACACTTCCTTGACTTGTAATTCTCACCAAACTCTTCCCTTGGTGAAGTCATGATGCAGAAGTTGGTGGAATGAAAACACAGGCCGTATCCACAAGCCCAGAGGAACGGTGAGTGGTGTTGGTGTGGCTTCTTGGGTGTGAGTCAACCGCTCACCAGGATCACTCCCGACCCTTCTCCCCAGCTGATTGTCTGAATGAGTACAGCCAGTCCCGTCCCCTGCGTCCCCAAGCTGGCCCCGCCTCCCGTACCACAGTGGGTTTGGACACAATGCATGTCCAAGAGTGGACTAAAGTAAGCCACATACCTGGGGACGGCTGCTCCACACCCGGGTCTCCCTGCTTCTCTTTGGAGAGTTCCTGCAGGCACTGGTCCCGTTCCTCCCGAAGCACCTGGAGCACATCACACAGTCGGGGGAGGGCGCCCACCTGCAAGTCCAAAACCAAGAATGCACATCCGTGCCACTAACTCCACTGTACCACAAAGAGACTTTCTGTGAGCATGAGTGGGGCTAGACAGTGAGGATTCAAACGGAGGAGGGCAAAATCCAGCAGGGAGCTCTTCACAGTGAGGTAGAGGCAGCCACTCTTGGGAGAGAATACAGGCCACTGAATTCTGGGACAGCCAGGATGCTTGAACCATCTGTAGCTTGTCCCCTGCAAATCTTGCCCTTGAGTTTATGAGGACACCCGAGCCCGGTGAGTTACTTACTTTCTGGGGACCTATTAGTCTGCAGGACTTCGTTTATTCCAACAGTGTTCATTTCTCAGGCTTGGCAAGTTAAGTTTTGATTCAAGGGTCTTTGAAACCTACATTCAACCATCTCCCTGTTCCCCAGAAGAGAACATATATCCACCCCAGGCAAACACTGATGGAGGGATGTGTTGGACAGGAAGGACTGGCACACAGTCCTGGCTTCCTAGCTCTTCCTAGAGTAGATTTCCAGAGCATGGCTCCATTCTTTCATTTGTGCTGACACTTGATAAATATGTGAGTGAGGGAAGGAAGGAGGAAGGAAGGAAGGAAGGAAGGAACAACTCAAAACACCAATGAATTGAACCCTTATTTTACTTTTTACAGAGTAGGGAATTTTTTTATAAATTTTTAAAAGTTTGTTTGTTTGTTTCTTTTGAGAGACAGAGAGGAGGAGGGGCAGAGAGAAAGGGAGAGAGAGAATCCCAGGCAGACTCCATGTGGTCAGCACAGAGCCCGATGTGGGGCTCGAACTCATGAACCGTGAGATCATGACCTGAGCCAAAACGAAGAGTCGGACGCTTAACCGACTGAGCCACCCAGGCGCCCCTACAGAGTATGGAATTTTAATATTAGAGTCTTTTCGCATACATTAACTTACGTAAGCATCAAAATAACCCCGTAAAGAGACACAGAAAAGGAAACTGAGGCCCATAGTAGTTAGGGCATGTGACCAAGGTCCTATACCCAAGGTTCCGAATTTCAGAAACCGGCCTTCCAAGAGGTCAAGGACCAAGTCTTAAACCCTCTTGTCACCCCTGCACTAAATGCTTTGTGGATGGAAATGTCAACATAATGGAACAGGGGGAGAAGTCCCCGGCGACAAGGCCATGCTCCAAAATGGCCCAAATAAACAAAAGCTCTGGGCCAGAGAAGGGCACCTCAGGTAGCACTGTATTCAAACGACTCCAAAGGCAAACAAATAATCTGACGATCTCTCTGTTAATTTGGGTCTTCCACAGCTCATGACCCTTCACTAATGCAGTCAGAAAGCACCTATCAGCTGTCAGCGGCTGCTCTCTTCCAGCTACTCCCTGACCATAAGTGACTGGATCCGTGATCCCCATGAAACACACACATCACCTCCCCTGGCACGGAGCCCACAGTCAGCCACAACAGAGCTGTTGCAGGACCATCTGTGTCTACCCAGCACTAAAATCATATTATGTGGGGCACCTGGGTGGCTTGGTCACTTGAGTGTCCGAGTCTTAGTTTTGGCTCGGGTCATGATCTCACAGGTTGCGCGTTTGAGCCCTGCATCGGGCTCTGTGCTGACAGCACAGAGACTGCTTGGGATTCCCAATCTCTCTCTCTCTCTCTCTCTCTCTCTCTCTCTCTCTCTCTGCCCCTCCCCTGAGCGCGCGCTCTCTCTCTCAAAATAAATACACTTAAAATTCATTCCTTCCCCGTTCATCACCCCTAAGTTTCCATCTCATTCCTGACCATACAACACATGACTTCATCACCTTGCTTGTGATGGCTCTTGTATTTAGACACTTATGTTAAAACGTTCCCTAAGAATATAGTCACTGTCGGGAGAACCGGCACGCAGCCCCGCATACTTGTGCCCTTGTCTCCCTGTGGCGTTCTCTCCGGGTCCTCGCGGAAGCCCATCATCACCACCACCCTCTGGCTTTTCGGCGGAGGCGGTAGATGAGCTTGAGTGGAAAAATCCACCTGCGGGTGGGCAGGCTGCCATTAGTTCACCAAAGGTCTCAAGCAGGCACACAGCCTGTTCGGTGCCACTTTGAAGCTAACATTACTCTTAAAAGGTGAGACGCTGCAGGAGGGAGTGTGAACAGGTACAATCTTTTAAGTGTATATACGTAAGCATATGTTAAGTGTCACAAAAATGTCCAGACCCTTTGGCCGACTGACTTTACTTCTGAGAATCCACCCCGTACGTGGCAAAAGCTTTATATAGAAGGATTCTGCGACAGCTTGAAGTATAACGGAAAACAAAGGGATGGGCTTCTGGGAGATGCAGCACACGTACGTTTTTCCTATTGCTCCCACGAAGTACAAGAAACCCTGGACGTTATGTACAAAAGAAGCATTAGAAGATTCTGGAAGGTGGAGAGAAGGCAAAGTGGCTAAAGACCTCATGACCCAAGGAAGTGGTGAGTTCTGTCAGGTTTCTTTTCACCCCATATACCCCATTCCTGGAGCTGAAGAAGTCAGCAATAAGGAAATGCAGCCAGATGCAGAGGAAAAAGCCCCGACAAAAGCCTGCTCGCTCTAGCCAAGGGCCAGGAAAGAGGAAGTCTAGCAAGACAGAAAATGTATAGGCGATAACTGCCCACTTCAGCCAAACACCACAGAAAAGCCTGTGGTCACCTGGGGAGCCAGGACTTCCACCTTCCCCAGGCTGTGACGCAGGGCCCCAGCCTCCCTGCCAGGGTGGTGTCTCAGACGGCCAAGCAAGGAGCTGGCGCATTCAGCCCTGTTGTGTGGTAACACAGTCCCCCCAGCCCGTGATGCCAGCGGAGACTGGACTTTCCCCCCAGCCCAGAAGGAAGGAGGTCCCCTTCATCTCCCCACCGGGATGGTGTCCCAGGTGCTGCAGGAGAACTGCCCACCCAGAATCCTATACTCGGCAAAAGATACCTCCAGGAATGAAAGGGAAGTCAAGACATTCTCAGGGAAGGAAAACTCAAAGAACTCGTTGTCGGCATCCTCCCCTAAAAGAGTGGCTAAAGGAAGGTTCTCTAAACACAAGGAGGCCTGGCAGACACTCGGCACTTTCACCATCACCAGTGTGACGGGAGCCCCCACTGTAGTGTTATGAGACCATGTGGGGAGCTGATAGTCCCACCCCTCACTCGTCAGTAAGGGGGACCCTTCCTCCTCTGTCAGTGTCAAATCAGACAGAGTGGGGAAGCTGGACTTCTATGTGCACCTGGAAGAAATGAGGGAGCATCCACCCCCTTCCTCATCAGAAAAAGCCCACAAAGAGGTTTAAGTAAGATCCAGAGCCCTACGGCATAGAAAATGCCCCACTTTCTTCTTCTTTTTTTTTTTAATCTTTTTCTTTTAAGGTTCATTTATTTTGAGAGAGAGAGCACAAGCAGGGGAGGGGCAGAGAGAGAAGGAGAGAGAGAATCCCAAGCAGGCTCCGTGCTATCAGCACAGAGCCTGATGTGGGGCTTGATCCCACGAACCACGAGATCACAGCCTGAGACAAAAATCAAGAGTCCGATGCTCCACGAACTGAGCCATCCAGGTGCCCCTGAACTGTCCTGCTTTCAATAAAAGATCACTCATCACATTAAGGTTGACATCAAACTGAATGAAAAATGATCAACAGATGCCAACACTAGGGGCACCTGAGTGGCTCAGTCGGTTAAGCGTCCGACTTGGGCTCAGAACACGATCTCATGGTTCATGAGTTTGAGCTCTGAGTCAGGCTCTTCACTGATGGCTTGGGCACTCTCTCTCCCTCTTTCTCTCTCAAAAATAACTAAATAATAATAAAAAAAATAGATGCCAACACTGAAGTGACAGGGACCTGCAATGATTTGACAAAGGTTGTAAAGCAGCCATCATAAAAATGCTTCCGTGAGCAATTACAGGTACACTTGGAACAACTGTAGAAATATACACCTCGGCAAAAAGAAGAAAGTTTCAGCAAAGAAATGAAAGATATAAAGCAATCAAATGTAAAAGTTAGAACTGAAAGAGACCATAACTGAAGTAGAAAAGCTCAGTGGGAGGGCTCAGCAGAGAGAAAAATTAAACTGAAAATAAAAAGGCACAGACTTTGGAGGGCCTGACTGGCTCAGTCAGTGGAGCATGCGACTCTGAGGTCATGAGTTCAAGCCGCACGTTGGGCGTGGAGCCTACTTACAAAAATAAAAAGTGAAATGAAAACGGTAAAATAATCCTTAAAAAATAAATTACTTTCTGTTAAAGTTTATTTATATATTTTGAGAGAGAGAAAGAGCGAGCTGGGGAGGGGCAGAGAGAGGGGGGTAGAGGATCTGAAGAGGGCTCCATGCTGATAACAGACAGCCCCATGTGGGGCTTGAACTCACGAACCCATGAGATCATGACCCGAGCTGAAGTCGGACGCTTAATCGACTGAGCCACCCAAACGTCCCTAAAAAATAAATTAAAAAATAAAAACAAAACAAAAAGTGAACAGACTTCCAGGGTTACATGTGACAACAAAAGCACAATCCATAGAAGGAAAATCGGGTAAAGTGGACTTCATAAAAATTTAAAAGGAGCACCTGGGTCGCTTGGTCAGTGAAGCGTCTGACACTTGGTTTTGGCTCAGGTCATGATCTCACGGTTTGTGAGTTCGAGCCCCGTATGAGGCTCTGTGCTGACAGTGCGGAGCCTGCTTGGGATTCTCTCTCTCTCTCTCTCTCTGTCTCTCCTCCTCCTCCTCCTCCTGCTTGCAAGTGCATGGGTTCTCTCTGTCTCTCTCAAAATAAATAAATAAACTTTAAAAAAAAATTTTAAAGCCTTTTACTTCATGTTAAGCAGACGAAAAGACAAACTACAGACTGGGAGAAAATATTTGCATTCGCATATTCAAGAAAGGACTAATACCTAGAATGCATAAAGACCCTTCAAATCTCAACAGTAAACAAACAAACAATATCATTACAACATAGGCAAAAGACACGAGGAGACATTTCACAGAAGATATACAGATGCCAAATGAGCACATGAAATGGTTTCCAAAATTATTAGCTATTAAGTGAACACAAATTGAAACCACAATGTGTTATCACTATACTCTATCAGAATGGTTAAAATACAAAAAACTAGTAACCACAAATGCTGGTGACGTCGTGGAGAAACTAGATCACTCATACGTTGCTGGTGGGAATGTAAGATGGTGTAGCCATTCTGGGAAACAGGTTGGCAGTGTTTTACATAAGCTAAACATGCAGCTTTCACATGATCCAGCAATTTATCTCAGGGAGATGAAAATTTATATTCATGCAAGAACCAGTATGCGAATCTTTATAGCGGTTTTTATTCAATGGGTGAATGATTACACAGATCACTGCACATCCATACTACGGAATTCCACTCAGCAATAAAGAGGAATAAACTAAGGCTGCCTGGGTGGCTCAGTCAGTTAAGCATCCAACTCTTGATTTCAGCTCAGGTCATGATCTCGCTGTTCATGAGTTTGAGCCCCACATCTGGCTCTGCGAAGACAGTGCAGAGGAGACTGCTTGAGATTCTGTCTCCTGTTTCCCTCTTTCTCTGCCCCTCTCCTGTGCTCGCTCTCTCTCTCTCTCTCTCTCAAAAACAAATAAATAAATAAACACTTAAAAAAATAAAAAGGAGATGAATCTTCAGAGAAGTATGCTGAGTGAAAAAAGCCAATCCTAAAAGGTTACATACCATATGATTCTATTTGTATGAACTCTTGACATGACAAAATTATAGAAAGAGAGCAAATTAGTGGTCAGGAATTAACGAAGGGACAGGAGTGGGAAGGAAGTGGCTGTGACTGTAACAGAGCACCATGAAAGATTCTTGGGGTAACAAAAATATTCTGTATCTTGACTGCATCAATGTAATGTTGTACTATATAGTTTTGAAAGATTTTATCAATGGGAGAAACTGACAAAAGGCTATGCGGGGATCTTTCCGCATTATTTCTTACCGTCTACAATTCTCTCAGAGGCAGAAGTTTACATTGTAGGGGCCCCTGGGTGGCTCAGTCGGTTAAGCATCTAACTCCTCGTTTTGGCTCAGGTCATGATCTCAAGGTTTGTGGGATCAAGCCCCACATCGGGGCTCTGTGCTGACAGGACAGAGCCTGCTTAGGATTCTCTCTCTCTCTCTCTCTCTCCGCCCCCCTCTCTCTCTCAAAATAAATACACTTTTAAAAATATGTAAATATATAGAGGAAGGTAGATACTTAATTCCGTGGCTCTGTTCCCATTCCTACCTCCAGTTGCAACCTCTCTGTCAGAGACTGATCTTTGTCTCTTTAATAATTACTCTTCCTCTGCTGCAATCAGAATTTAACTGGGCATATGGTTGCCCATCTGGAGACTAGAGTTTCCAGCTTCCCTGCAACTAAAGTGCACCCACATGACTAGGTTCTAGCAATGGAGTAGAGCAAAAGTCACATGTGCAAGCACAATCTCGTGCCCATAAAAGGAAAGGGACATGCTTCCCCCTTTCATGCGTGGATACGGTGATGAGCCATATTCAATCGTGGGGATGAGGGCAATGCTTCAGCCTTGACTATGTTGCCAGATTCAGAGGACAAAACCCATGGTGGACTGCACTTGTGAATTTCCACACTTCATAGCATCCTTTCGGTGTTAACATTGACAAAGTAACTCGTAACAGACTTAGGAGATTTACTGCCAAGGACAGGGAAAGAGGCATATCGTAGTCAGAATTATCAGTCCCAATTCCGTATAGGAGTTTATACATATGAGTTCAAGGTGGGTGGAGTATACTGCCTTCCTTGGGCCTAGCCATGTGACTGGTCACTGGTATATTAGATAGATCTGATAGGAAGAGAGGCTCAAAATATGTTTGCACAGCTGTGCTTGCTCTCTTGCATTTCTGCCACCTGGGGTATCTTGCAGGTCGTGCAGCAGACCTGTACCCAACCCAGGGACTGGAGCCAAGCCAGCTGAGCCCAGCCTGGATCAATCAAACCCTAGTTGACTTGCGAACACCATGAGAGAAATAAAGCCTTATTGCTGAATATCCCTGAGCTTTTTTGGGACTGTTATGCATGGCACACGGTAGGAAAGAGATTCTGAGGCAGCACCAAGGTGCATGATTTAGGGAGTTGAAGTTTCTACCAAATGGGTGGCGATTTGCACTGTGGGGTTAAAGAAAGGAGTACTCCCACAGAGTGGACTCTTGAGAGCCATGGAGCAAGGTTAGAAATGACAGAACACCTATCCTGGGAACATCTCTCCAAGAAAAGTTCAACTTCCTTGGCAGTTTTACCCTGGACTATAGAAAGAATAATACTCACGGGGCACCTGGGTGGCTCAGCCGGTTGAGCGTTTGACTTCGGCTCAGGTCAT